TGCCTCTCAGGCGATACTTTCATTTCCACGATGGAGCTTCCTATGTAGGTTCATCAGTTGCTCAAATGATATATGGTCCTATTTTCCTGCCGAATTGTTCTCCTTCTAAATAATCTATTCTGTAATACATCAAGTGATAAGTACGGAACATCACAGGGCAGTACTCCTGTAAACTGTTTAAAGCATCGTTCTGTTACTTTAAGTTTTATTACTCTCAGACGGTGACATAATGTGTAAGAATCATTTAAGAGTATTTTTTGTGATTATACCACATTTAATTAAGAGATGGCACTTATTTTAATCCACATTAATTAAACCGTTTCAAAAGTAATTATAGTTTTCAGGGTTTTTAAAAGGAATTAAAGTAGTTAAATTTGGTTGAATTAAATAAAAATGTAGTTTAAAATCTTCAGAAGAAGTATAATACCCTATAGAACTTACTTTACTTGATGTAGTTTCCGAAATAAATATTTATTTTCTGCTTGAAATCAATATTGCTCAAATTTTTAGAATCATATAAATTAAAAAACTGGGTGAATAAAACAATATTTAAATATTTTTTTATTAAATAAATCCTTTACTTGACATTAAATATTATTTTACTAAAAATAGTTTTCTAATTATTTTATGAAAATAAGTAAATTATTTATTTATTATTATACTTTCATTTCCATAATAGTGCTTCTCATGTTGGTTCTTCAGTTGCTCAAATGATATATGGTCCTATTTCCCTGCCGAATCGTTCTCCTTCCAAATAATCTATTCTGAAATACATAAAGTGATAAGTATGAAACATCATAGAACTGTTCTCTTGTACTTTACTTTTCTTGTACTTTATATTCTGTTACTTTAGATTTTATTACTCCTAGACGCGGACATAATGTATAAGATTCATATAAGAGCATTTTTGTGATTATAGCACCTTTAATTAAGACGATGGCACTTAATTTATTTTACATTAATTAAATCGTTTCAAAAGTAATTATAGTTCTGAGGCATTTTGAAAGGAATTAAAACATTTTAATTTTGTGGACTAAAAAAATAATTTCAGTTTAGTAATTTAAATCAGAGTCATAAAATTAAAAAAAAAATGAGTGAATAAAACAATATTTAAATAATAATTTATTGAATAAATCCTCTGCTTAACACTAAATATTTTTCTTTTACTAAAAATAGCTTACCAATTCTTTTCTGACAAAATATTAGTTTGAAAAAATTTTAATCAAAATGTGCTTAAAAAGGTAGTTGGGTACTTTTAAAATGATTTTGTTTCCGATACTCTATTATTCATACTTTAAGGCTAAGAAGATGTTAAATGAAAAATAGGTCTCTTTGCTGCCCTGGATACTCAGCTACAGATCAATTTTAGACCCATTAACAGAATTTAGAGTGTACTATTAGATATTAAAATCTTAAATAAATATATAAAAACTCAGATGGAGAAATTGTTCGGACAAAAATCTTATGAACATGGTATTTATTTTGAAAATTTCAGCTTTACACCCCACCCACTGGAATAAATATTAGGTGTAACGGATTAATTATATTTGGTTAATATTGGTTAGGAATAATATTATTTTCATAACCAATATAGGTTATTATTATACATAACCAAGACCAAAAAGAAATTATAATTTGCCTTTTATCATTTCCTCAATTAGTAAAGATTTAGACGGCTTCATTGCAAAGTGTTCTAGGAAATATAATTNAATATGATCAATATCAAATATCATAACCAATAAAGATATTAGGTTATGAATAATATTAGATTTAATGGTTATGTTCTAGCTTGAATATATGGCGTGAAAGAGCATGTGCATACATCTTCAATTTGGTAACAAAAGTATCCGTCAGAACTAAGAGATAAATCTCAGTTACACATTTAAGGGTAAAATTTCAAGAACTTTTTTGTCTTTTTTAAAGGCACCGTTTGCTTCCTGCTATAACAATGTGGCCGAACAAAATTTTTTTCAAAATTTTCTAAGAACCTCCAATCCGGGAATAAAACATAGTTGCCAACTAGCCCACATTTATCGGAACATTTTCGTTTCAGGGCGCTCAAATACAATACATAATACAAATATACAAGTGGTGCCAAACTACATATCATAGCAATTTCCTAATTCCGCAACCACTTCAATTTAGATAATATTGATATAACATGCATAGCATTTCTATACACGTAATAAGCTTCAAAATCCTTGTGGCGATCAAAGAAATTCTATGATCTTTTTTTTTCAAGTATATTTTAAAATATACATTTGCTACCATTTTAAATAGTTTTGCCGACTTATTAGAGCCCTGTTGTTATATCCTGTGTTAAAAATTTTTATGCACCATGAATTATCCTCTGAATAATATTTAATAAACGAGAAATAAATATTAAATCAAATTTGTAAAGTTCTTCCTCCTTGGAACCGATTTAATGGCATATACAGTACTTGCAGCATCCTATTATAAATACAAAAATGGTAGTAAAATTATGATATTTGTCATTTTGTTAGAGAAATAAAGCATTGTGACTAACAGGACACTATTTAATTTATTTCATCAAATTTCAAATTTTCTAAGAGTTTTAGCTTTTAGAATAGTATATGAAAATTTAATAAAGAGTTAAATATAAAAGTTGTGTATTAATATAGCAAATACAATAAAGTGTTAAATATAATAAATGTGCGTTAATCAAATAAAGAGTCAAAAACATAGAAAAAAAATCCTTAGCTTTAAAGATAAAATGACTACTAGGCTTTAATTTTTTATAAAACGCTGTGATCACTTCTGCTTCCTAATCAATTATTGAGAATTTCGTCATTAATCCTATTAAGACCAATTTGGCGAAAACGCCACAAACAGAATTTTTCTAGAAAAACGTTGTAGAGTTTTTTTCACTCAAACAAGGTAACAACGTTCCATTTTTAACTAAATCTGAGTTTCAGAAAAACTACTGTTACAATATTTTATAATATGCATAAATATTTACATTATTGATATATAATAGTTAACATGAATATTTTATACGATAAATATTAAAAAGAAAAATACTTGAGTCTTCAAGATATGTTTCTATGAGCAAAAACTGTGGAGTGTTTCATGGGGATGGGCTAATCCCTGAATAATGTCAACCCTTTGCACTAGAAAGATGATTTTTAGTCCTCACTCCAACTATGAATAACTAACTACTCCTTTGATTGGTAAACACTTTGCATCGTAATTTTTAATAATCACTTTATTTAGTGATCTGGAGTGTTGTGCAATAATTGTGTGCACAGTTAATATTATCCTTTAGTTTTTTTAATTTTATAACCGTCATTGAACTGTCTACCTAATATTTTGGGTTTACGACTACTAATGTTCAACTCCGCAGCCTTGCAATTTTGAACCTAATCCAAAAGACAAGGGAACTCCTGGAACAAGTATTGGAAGAAACTTGCCTTCATGGAGGACTTTTTGATGGAACTGCGCCGCATTTGCGTTACATTGACAGAAAAACCACGAAAACCTCCCACGGTTAGACTGACTTCAAGGGGACCCTAATCCATAATCCGTCTACCACTGAGGATATTTTACGTCAGCACTGTGGTCGGTGCAAGACGGATGTGTTATTTGTATCGACTAACCATCACTGGGATTTGAACCCGGTTCACCTAATTAGAAGGCGAAAGCTCTGTTTCGTATCTGTTACGAACGCTCTGTGTATGCATAAACGAGCCGTCGTAGCTCGTTAATTTTATCTTGCAAACTTTCAATTGGAATGTTCGCTATTTATTTTTTTAAACTGTTGAAAGAATCTCGAGCACAAATGTTTAAACGTGTGCTCCCAATAAAAAGAAGTTAAAACGATTCAAATTAGTACGAAAAACCTTGGGATATGGTGCTGCTATTTTTGGAGAAAAGTTTAATCTAAAAATTAGAGACGAGACATTTTGAATATCTGGAAAAGTTGTGATGTTTTGAAAAAAGAAATTACCGTAAGTTTTTTTTAAGCAATTAGTCGTTAAAAATGCTTCAAATTTATTTATATAAGATGTGAGTAAAACGAAAGTTTGCATAAATTTATCTAGTTTTTGTAGATTTTCTATAATTTAATATGAAAAAATATTAAGAAATTCTACATTTGATTCCGTGATAGGAATTTTCAGTATTATGAATGCTCTCATATAATTCCGAATTGGATATTTTGGTGTCAAACTCAAAAACTAAAGTACGATTCAGAAAAATTATCACGAAGAGAATTATTTGTTCAATGTATTGCTTTTCTCTAACCTTAAAGAAATAGAATTAATTAAAATATGACAACCATCTATTTACATTTTCTTATGTGAAGAAATAATCATATGAGTACACCTAAAACTTTCTTTTAAAGCAACAGTTCGTGGATTTAAAAGTATTCTTAATGTAAACTTTATTCAGAATTTCTTTCAAGAACCACAACCTAGAATATTTCAAAATAATATCTCTGATCAAATTTTAGCTTTTATCTACATTGACTTTTTTATTATTTTCAATCATTTTTTAATATTGTTTTGAAATTTTTGTTTTAAATTTTTCCTTTCAAAATTAGTTTTGGTTTTAATTGCTTTAAAAATCATAGGTTTCACTCTTTTTAATACGTAAGTAAGACTAATTAAAAATGTCTCTTTTTGAAGCAAAAATCAATAAATCAAACACTAAATTAAAAAGTTTAACTTAAATAGTTTTTTTAATAATGAGAAAATGCATTACGTTTTTATGCACTTAATCATTTCTCCTGATTTCTATATGATATAGATTGCAAAAAACATTCCAAAAAAACTGAATATTACTCAGTGACGACTATGACTAGACATTATTTTTTTTTGTTCTTGACGCATCTTAATGCCCAGAACTAGAAAATATATTATTTGATTACAGGTGTGCACAAATGACAGCTATTTTATGCAATTGTGCGTACGATAGAAGGCGCTCGCATCTGGAAAATGCTCCAGATGAAGCGCAAGAGCAGGGATTGAGAGAGGCTGGAAAGCGGTCGTTGCGTGTGGCTGCCTTCTCTTCGCATCTCCGATCTTCAGCATCTCGTGCTTTCTTCAAGCATGCTGGTCGATCTCTGATAACTTTTATTCGAATGCTTTAAAAATCTGTATTTTTGAAACTTAGGTAGAGTTGAGAAATTTTCTAAGAAGAATTTTCTATCGGCATATATAGTCTTTTCTGCTAAAAAGAAGAAACTTCAGGTAATTTCCTAAAATTTTAATCAAATTATTATTTTTTTTCAATTTTAAAAAGATATTATTGTTTAACATTTTTGATAGTATGCCATGTGCATAGTTAAAGGAAGCTATACATAATTTTTCTCTACAGAATTAACTAAAATATTTACACTTTTAAGACATTTTTTCGTGAATCACAAAAAGTTTAAATTTTTTAAAGTTATTCCTGTTTTTCCTGATCCATTGCAAAAACATGAAATTTATTCAAAACATTATTTGCTGTCAATTAAAAAAAAATATTTTGACATTTGTGTAGTGAAATTGTTTTCTTTTTAATTACTAAAAATTGAGTAAAAAAAGAAACACGAATAGTATCATTTAAACTTTTCAGTATTATCAAGATATTCCTTGATTCTTAAGACTTTGATACTTTGATCCTTGATACTTCATTCGCTTCAAAAATTTACAAATCAGAAATAACACTCGAAATGTTTCAAGCTCTCAAAAATAGGCGCTCATATTCAAGACTTGTAAGACGTAAGAGATGTCGACTGTTATTTCCAATTTGTATACTTTTGAAATGATAGCAGTTTTTAATACGGTAATATCTTGCTGCTTCATTTTCTTGGAATTATTTATTTAATCAATATATTCTGTTTTAGATTTGAGGAAAACAATACAAAAATAGTTTATCAGATTTATGAACTATAATATTGGCAAAACCTAAATATATCCATTAAGGTTAAGCTTAATTATTATAGAACAGAAATATTTTTCCTATTTAATACGTAGGAACTAATATTTGCCAAATATAATCATAGAGGGGGCTAAGTTGCTTCTATTTGTTAAATATAATAAATATATGTTTAAAACAAATACCATAAATAGAATAAATTTTATAGTATATTAATATAACTCTTTTTTACATTTCTCAAAGTTATTTAAATACTTTCTTCGAAGAGTTATTAATATTTATCAATAATAACTCTTCGTATTTATATATTTATTATTATTAATTATTAATTACTCTAGTAATTATATATTTGCTATTTTATTGTTGTTATAAATGTTTACATAAAAAACCACTACCTCACATAAAATAATTAAGACAATAATTGTTTTGTTTACTCAAAATTTGAGACATTAAACTTATTTTTTTAGTAAGTGTCGCGATGCAAGAGATACTTTCCTAAAAGTGTGATATTTGTTTTCGTTGCCTTTACGCAGTTATTTGTCTAATAAAAATATTTATTTCTAAAAACTCTATTAAAGCCTTTTAATTACACTTTTTAAAAACATCACGCTTATAACATCAGAAATATTGTGCCAAACAGTGCAAATCCACTGTGAAAAATATTACTTCTGCCCCCTGTCTCTGGCAAAGGAAAATAAAGTTTCTATAAGCTTGTTATATTTTTTCAATTCAGAAAATTCCTGTCCTTAAGTGTGCTTCTATCTAATGTCCTAATTAACGAATATTACTGAACTGACCACTAGCGGGCCCCATGTAAAGTAATGTAGGAATGACTAGTTCGTACGACTCTTCATCATTCAGCTACATTGAAAATATGATAAATTTTCATACTTAAAGTTTAACATTAAGAAAAGTAACTCGCTTTTACATCTAAATCAACGAAAGGTTAAAAATATCTTTATCTTTAAGCTTAGATGATCAGTGTACATTTTATAATAGTATTTCCTAAGTGTTAATTAAAAAATAAATTAACAAAATGTTGATATCAACTAAACTAGATTTTGGCAAAGCACTACTTTTCAAGATTTCGGTCCAGCTATATTGTCCCTCGGTTATACTGTAATGTTTTAAATATTTTTTCCGAGACCAATTTAAAATAAAATTAATTCCTCCACATATGCGTAAAAAGGGATGCCAAATTGTGCTTTATGATTTTGAATAGCTATGTTATACAGGCTAACTTTTTTAATACTACCAATTTAAAAGAAAAATGCGTTGAACTTCATTAAAAACGGACTGGCCTCCCGGAATAAAATTTACAAAAATAAATTTGCTATCAGTTTTTTAGTTTCCCCGAGACACTGAACAGATTATATATGAACAAAATTTTATTAACTCGAATATAACACTTACCGAAAAACACTGTTAAATTTAATCAAGCAGAGCTGCTTATGCCCAAGAAAAGAGAAAAAGCTGGTAATAAACCAATTCTATAACTAGCTTGCTTTCGGGAGAAATAAAGAACATTGCATACCTGCCAACTCTTCCGGATTTTCCGGAAGATTTTATTTTCATATTTAAAGTGGTAGCAATACTCAGGTTAATCCAATTAATTTTTTGAATTATAATGATAATTATAAATGAGTCTGACCACCACTACATATAAATAATTACAATAAATACATAAAATCATAATAATCATTGCACAGGCGAATTTCAACGGAATCAAAATATAAATATATTTTTGAGTCAGATTGTTTTTCGTTTATTGTTTTACAACCACTCTGAAAATCCATTCTCGGAAAGAGTGAAAGTTGGCAGGTATGACATTGGCTATCAAGACTAATTAACACGTTCACGACGGATGTTGCGCCTGAAAGCGGGACGGAAAAGAGAAAATACAGGTAGAAGAACTATTTCAATATTAGATAATATTCTGGAGGAGTTAATCAATTCTCAACAATTAAAATTCACTGTAAGGAAATTTACCACGGCGAAGAAGCAATTCAATAAAAAAAATTGCATCCGTTAAAAGCAATTGGTAGCTATGGATTTTTATTATTCCCGGAAAAAAACTAGAAAATAAAATTTATTTGTTACCAGTTTTTACTCCGGTGCGCCGCCCGATGAGACAATCTAGCGTGACCCACCGGTGGGTCACCCCGGCGTGAACGTGTTAAATGTTAAAATGTATATATTAGGTTGTTTCCTTCACAAAATAGCTGTTATTAAGTATTGATATTCAGAGACAATTTTTTCTCTGTAAAAACAAGCTGGAAATAAAATAGCTTTTTTGCTACCAGTTCTTTCAAATTTTCTGGGGTACAAACAGCCCTGAATCAAGTGAAATATTGAATGATTTGTTATCATACTCATCATATTTGAAAAGAGGATCTAATTATAAATAACATTTAGATATTTACGACATTCTTAAAAAATATTATTTTAGTGACAAAAAAAAGCTGATTATTACATTATTTTGAACTACCTATTTAATAAAATTTAAATAGGTAATAACTCCATGTGGTTTGTAAATTTTTTATCTGTTCCCTTATCCAGTATAAATCTCTATCTTTAAAAATCTACTTATCTACAGTTCTATAAGAGAATACTATATACACATACATTGAATTCACCAAATAAGTTAAAAAATACTAAGAAAGCAAAAAAAAATTATATTTTAAACGGAAGAAAAAATATATTATAAATAGAAAAAGCTTTAAAAATATTTAAAAAATGTAAAAATATTTAATAATTAAATAGAAATTAAAAAGCTGCAAAACGAAAGTCTTTAAACAGATATTTTCGTTCATTTCTTCTCCTTATTTTGTCTCCAATTTTGAATTTGTTTTTTTTTTTTTAGAAATTTTTGATTTTTTAAATTTTTTTAAAGTATTTTTAAAAACATTTTTCAAAACGTATTAACAATTTTTTTTCTTGTCTGCAATTTTTCCCTGTTTTCCTTGTATTCCTAATTTTTTTTCTTTGTTTTGTACATTATGAATATATTATCGTAAAACTGATATTATGCGCAACTTTCAACAACTGCGTAAATTCCAAAGTTTTAAAACATATTTTCCTAAAGGTAGGTGAGGTAGTGAATTAAAATATTAATAAAGTAGAATTAAGAGAATTTTGACTTACAAATATCTTTTAAAAAGGTATATAAAAATTCAGATACACATATTGGCGGTAATACACAAACAACAGAGCTAATACTTATCAGAGAAAGAATAAAAACCGTCAATTAGAACTATCTTTTATTTCTCCAGTCAGAAATCAATTATTTGTGATTATGGTAACGTAGGAATTATACTTATTGTAACAAATGTACATTTTTAACATACATTTTACATATTAGTAAGTAGTTGTATTTTTGGTGAATATATTTTTACTGGCGGAAAAAGGGAATGGGGTGGTATTTAACGGAAATAAGTATAAGCATTAGAATATATTAAGCTTTATCATTACTTAAAATCAACCTTGTAAATAGTATTAACTCAAAACTTCATTTAACCCTCTCGGGACTTTCGAGTCATAAATGTATTCGTAAGGAATCAGTATCAGGATGGAAAAAAATAAAAAGCGGTAGCTTAAGTTTTGGGCATAGCTGATTTGCCAGATATATTTTTGCTTTCACTTTAAATCTAACAAATCCAATAAACGAGTGATAAAAGTGTAGTTATAAAATTTTTTATTCGAACTAAATAGTGTTGAATTAAATAAAGCAAACTATCATTACCCCACCCACAAATAAACTGCTAAAGAACTACATTGGTTACCAGTTTTATCTTTTTACCCTGATTGATACGGTTTCATGTTGGTATGTATTTGTGACAGTCGGCGTGAAAGGGTTAACGGATAAAAGTTGAAGCGTTAGAATATATTATGTTTTATATATTTGAAATCAACCTTGCAAATATTATTAAGTCAGAACTTTATTTTCAAGCAAAGAAGTAGTTTTACTTTGATTTTATCTGTTTTCTTTGCAAGTAACAATAGATTAAATAATGACTTGTCCACGATATAGCCATGATATGGGGCTAACGTAAACAAAAACAACTTTAACACAAAAATATTGATAAAAAAGTATCCATCCAAATTAATTTACGCATCCAAAATTAAGGCAAATGTTCAATTTTCAACAAATTGCTGCACATGTTCAAAATAATAAAACGTACACTTTTATATTTATTTATAGGCCATCGCAATTAAATCACATTAAATTTAAACTACAGAGAATGTATAGGATACGCAAATATCCTCCAATTTATGGGATAAATATATAAATTTTTAGGAGCAAAGCAATTTAGACTTTCAAAACATTTTA